CTCAGTTGGTAGAGCACTTGCCTAATGTACATGAAGCCCTGGGTTCTATGCTCAGCACTGTGTAAAAGTGTTGGCTCTTACCTGTGATCCCAGCACTCAGGAGTAGAGGATGAAAGATCAGGAGTGTAGGGTCATCCTTCATTCCACGAGGTGTTTGAGGCAACCTGGGTGAACTGCAAATTCTGTCTCAAAAAAATAAAATAAAATAAAATTGCAGGGCTGAAGATATGGCTCAGTGGGTAAATATTCTTGCTGTACAAGCATAAGGACCCGAGTTCAAATCCCCAGAACCTATGTAAAAAGTCAGACCTGGTTGCATACACCAGTAACCCCAGCACTGTGAGGGGCAAAGATAGGAGGATCGTTGAGCTTGCTGGCTACCAGCCCAGCTTCAAATTTAATGAGAGACCTTGTTTCAAGGGTTTATGGTAGAGAATAGTAGAGCAGGGTGCCCAGTGTCTTTCTCTGGCTTTCTCTGAACACACCAAACACACAGGTGCATATATACATCAAACATATATACACAATTAAATCCTTAAAATTTGTAAGAAATCTAAATGTGGTTTAAAATATACCAGAGGATGTGTGGAGGTTATGCACACATGGGACTTGAACATGCAGATTTTGTTATCCACTGAGGGTGCTAGAATCCACTCCTAGTAGACTGTACTTGCCTGAATCATTTCCTGATACTACTGATTCCTTTGGTATCCATGTTACTAACCCTCCAGTTTGAGCTACCCTGGTACATGTGTGCCCTGCTCTATCACTCTGCTGTCTTCCCTTGAAACAGGGTCCCTCACTGAACCTGGCAGCCAGCAAAACCCAGGGATGCAACTCCCCAGCATTGGGATCACAGGCTGTGTCATTGCGCAGTGTTTTACATGGGTGCTGGGTATTTGAGCTCATGCTTCTCGTTCTTACCCACTGAGCCATCTCTTCAACCCCAAAACGCAACCTCTTTATACACTAGCCCTTGTCAGACATTCTGCTACATACCTTTAATCTCTGAAGGAAAAAGGCAAAAGCAGGCAGATCTCGTGTAAGTTCAAGGCCAGCCTAGTCTACATAGAGAGACTCTGTCTTTAAAAAAGGAGAAAATATAGCCATCTAGGATGTTTTTGTTTGTTTGTTTTTGAGACAGTCTTATGTAGTTCAGGCTATACCCCCTATGTTTCCAAGGATGACCATGAACTCTTGATCCTCCTGTCTCTGCCTTCCAAGTTCTGGGATTATAGGTGTGTGCCATATACCCGGCTAGGTCATTAAGATTTAGCACTGAAATTTTTTAGAAGACTGATCATATCATAGCACATCCTATCCAGAGCTAGGCACAGCTGGCTACGGTTCCTGACAGAGTCCTGTGGATGCAAGGTGAGTGCCCATTCTAGACTCTTAACTCCTTCTTACAGGTGCTGAAGTCCACAGGGGATGTGGTTGCAGGACGGGCCCTGTATGAGGGGTACGCAACGGTCACGGATGCACCCCCAGAGTGCTTTCTCACCCTCAGGGACACAGTACTGCTGCGAAAGGAATCCCGGAAACTCATTGTTCAGCCCAACACTCGCCTGGAAGGTAATGAATGTTGCACCCATTTGATGGAGCTACCTGGTGGGATCTTTCCAGAGAACAAATGACACTTGGTTCAGGGAGGGGTCCCTCTCTGCTGTGTCCTTTCTGGCAAACCTCAGGCCCAGAACCTTGGCATTTTCCATCTCACACACCTAGACACTGGTTGTCAGGCAGCAACAAGAGGTCTCAGGAAGGCCAACAGAGTAGGAACTGGTGGAGGCCAGGCCAAGGCTTGGAGGGTCTGAAAGGTCCTAGCAGGAGGTAGTCAGGCAATGAACTGGGACTGCACAGGCCAAGTAGGAACGTCAACATTCAGAATGGAGATGTCCTCGTTCCTCCCCACTTCTCAAATAACATTTCCATTTCTAGAGTCCCTGGCCCAGCCTGCATGGTGCTGGTACCTTGTGTGCCTTTTTATCTCAAGTACTGAGTCCACTCTACTCGGTAGCCTTTGTACATGCTGTTCCTTCAGCTTGGCATGATCGCTTTCAAATCTGTGCCTGCCTGGTTCTTCTTGTTGGTCAGGTCCCTGTTACATGGCACCCCCCCCCAGACATGCTGTCCCCAGTCCCTCGACACAAAGTAACCCCTTAAATCTCTTATCTCTCAGCTTCATTTTCTTTGTGCTTTGATACCTTCACCCCAGGGGAAGCCACTGAGGGATGGAGCAGTGGATGGGACCTAGCCATTCCCTGAAGCAGTTCAGAGCCCATTAGGAATGAGAATGCATGGATATATTAATCACACAGGGAAACATTCATGAATGTTTTAAGGATACTGACAGTGCTCTGAACACTTGGATAAAAATAAATCTATTTCTTTAGAGTATCCAGGAAAGTTCTTAGGAGGAAGTGGTGGTGCTTAAACCAGACCTGAGGAACAGGTTAGATTTTTCAAAGGTCCTGCTGAGTTATGGTATGTTCAATAATGGAGCATTTTCCCAATATGTAATAGCCCCTGGGTTCTACCCCCAGCACTTTGGTAGTTTGGTGATGGCGGTGGTGGAGGACTTACAGGTCCAGGTACGATGTTTTTACAACAGGCTGGGATGGTAGCTCGCACTGGCAGCATGCTCTGCACTGCCAGATAAGGCCCGAGGTATCATCCCCAGTACTGAAAAAGAAGAACTTCTCAAGGATTAAATTCAAAGCCCGATGAAGTTTTCATCTGTGAACTCAAATACACACACGACCTTATCACATTTGCCCCAGGCCATACAGCTAAGTGGGTGCAGAGTCAGGATTTGAACTTGAGCCGTGCTGTCCTGAAGCCTGCAATCTTTCATTACTGTGAACCTCTCAGTGCACACACCACACACCACACATAGGTCAAAGATAGAGCAGCTGAAGAGATAAAGAGGATGCTTCCTGCCAGAATTCTGGGATCTTGAGATAGTCCCATTTAACAGATAAGATGCTGCCGCTGGGGAAGCTAGCACTCATTGAGCACTAACTGATGCTTTAGCATGCATAATCATAGCACCTTGAGAGAAGAGGTAATGTGCTTATTCCCACTTTACTTGTAAGGCACTGAGGCTTAGAACAGCTGGGAAACTTGCTCATGATCTACACATGGGACTGTGAGTGTTAAGAGGCCAAGGACTGTATCTGTTTCACCTAATATACCACTTAAAAATGAGTTCAGATTTACTTTGTATGTGTTTTGCTTGCATGTATGTATGTATGTGCACCATGTGTACACATAGTGCCCACAAGAGGGCATTGGATCCCCTGAGACCGGATGGTTGTGAATCACCATGTGAGTGCTAGAGGCCAAGCTGAGTGCAGCCTGGATCCTCTGCAAGAACAACAAGTACTCTTAATCCTTGAGCTATCTCTTTCCAACCTCCTGACATAGCACTGTTATTGATCATCTTTGTTGGCGATTGTTGGGGTTTGGTTTGGTTTGGTTTGGTTTTATTGAGACTGGAATTCTCTAAGATTATGGTATGTACTTCCATGCCATACTTGATTTGAACCTTGACTTAGGGACGGATGAAAGCTGGTAGCTGTCTGTTTAATCTACTATAGTTCTGCCTTCCTCACAGGTTACTCTAATGACTAAATTAGGTAACTGTCCTAAACATTGAAGAACAGTTTGTGCCAAGAGCTCAGTCAGGATTCGCTGCTCTTATGACTCTGTTATTACTTACGATTCTGCTTCCCTAGTCACATCTTTCAGTGCTGCTGTTTTCTCTTCATCTCCTCCCAGGCTCAGAAGTACAGCTTGTTGAGTATGAGGCCTCAGCTGCTGGTCTCATCCGATCTTTCTGTGAGCGTTTTCCAGAAGATGGGCCTGAGTTGGAGGAGGTCCTTACCCAGTTGGCCACAGCAGATGCCCAATTCTGGAGGGACCAGGTCAAGGAGGCCCCCACTGGCCAGGCTTGAGAAGATTTCATGATTCCTTTCCCCACTCCATCAAACCAGGGCTGACAGTGGCCCTGCCTTGTGTGTGTGATTAGGAGTCGGGGGAGGGCAGGAGCTCTGACTCTGGTGCTACCTCAGCTGAGGGTGGTGATGCTAACCCTGCCATTTGTCAGCACTCTCTGGTTTACCAAGTACTTCCTCAGTTCCTTGGTCTGCACTGCCATCTTTGGAGGGAGCTCCAGAGGCTGCCTAGTCCAGTATCCCACATGGGACAATGGCATTTCTGAGAAGTGACTGGTTAAGTCTGGCAGGTGGCATGTGACAGAGCCAGGGCTCAAAGTGAGAACACCAAATCCAATACTCTTCGTGTATTACTTTTATAACCAGAAAAATAAATACCACAAACAACCATCATCTTTGCTGTGTGTGTGATTCTTCCTTTCTGGGTTCAGAGCCTGGGGAGGACACAGTACTGCACATTTGGCTTCCAGTCCACAATAGGATTTTTATATCGTCTATAAAGGAAAGCACAATGGCACAGTATGAGTTATGCAACTCTCCTTTGTGACATTTTTAATATGTATGTGTGCATTTTCCCACTGTGTGCTCGTCCCAGCAGGAGCTAGGAGGTGGCATCAGATCCCCTAGAACTACACTTACAGAATTGTGAGCTGTCATGTGGGTTCTGAGAAGCGACCCAGAGTCCCCTGCAAGAGCAGCGAGTGTTCTTGTACTTAAAAATATTTCAGGAGCTTAAGAACTAGTACCCATTAACTTGAAATCCCGCCCTTTAATCCTCGTGGTTTGCTGCTCAGAGCTTGATCCAATACAGTAGAAAGAACATGACCCTTTTCAACTAAGTTAATCATAAAAATTGAGGCAGTTCATTTTGGTGGTCTTAACCCCAACAAGGTCTCCTTCCAAGTCCTCGAAGCCAAGGACCCTGTTATTGGTGCAGAAACCATAAATCAAAATCATGGGAGGGAAAATGCCAGCGCTTATCTTGTCGGTTCCAGCCAGGACAATTTCATTCCGGAACGTTTGTTTCTGTGCTTCCTGGTGTCCGGGTTCTATTGGGTGTTGCGCTACGGCGGAGGTGGTTGCCAAGGCGACGCCAGGGAAGATGGCTGCGACGTCTTCATCGGATTCCGACAGCGGGAGAGCTGAGAGGTGAAGTCCCGGGTCCTCACGGCTTCCTTTCCTTTAGTTGAGTAGACGATGCCTTGTTGCCAGGTCCTGGGCTTTTGCTTTCTGGCAGTGCTGAAAGTTCTGAAAGGGTCGTTCAGAAATCAGTAACGGAAGCCGAAGGCCAAGAAGCGACTGTGTGTTTGTGACTGGCTGATCACTCGAGGCATCAGTTGATCCCAGATTCCCCTTTCTCCGTGTTCTCTTGCTCAGGCATCATCTTACTCAGAACTTTCTTCCTTTCCCGTGGGACTCACTTTCTAAGTATCCTCTCCTTTCCCTCTCAGCAACGAAGCCAATTCGAAATGGCTGGACGCGCACTACGACCCCATGGCCAACATCCACACTTTCTCCTCCTGTCTGGGTGAGTCTCCGGACCTAGGAAAGCCGGTATTCTAGGAGGATGGCAGGATCAGGTAACGGTGAAGCTTTTGGGACTCTGATTTATGACCCTCTTGTGTTTTCCAGCTCTGGCAGATTTGCATGGCGACGGGGAGTACAAGGTAGGCAATCAGAAAGTTGAGTGGGGAAAACTCAGAAGTGAGATTTGAAAAGAGCACCAACATACTCTAGAACCCACTTGTACTGAAAGGGCACATTTAGTTGGAACGGCTTTCCTTTTTTCAATTTTTTTTATTTATTTAACTTGATTTTATGTGCATTAGTAGTATGAAGGTGTCAGATCCCCTGGAACTAGAGTTGCAGACAATTGTGAGCTGCCATGTGGATGCTGCAAATTGAACCTGGATCCTCTGAAAGAGCAGTTAGTGCTCTCAACAATTGAGTCATCCCTCCAACCCCAGAATTTCTGTTTAATTTAGATAGTAAACATTAATTTTATAAGAGAAAGAAAAATGTTGTAGATTTATAATACCCAGACATATAATTCTATAAAAATTAATTTGGGGGCTGGGAGTCGTAATGCATGTCTTAATCACAGCATTGGGGCAATAGAGACAAGTAGACATCTGTGTGTGTTTGAGGCTGGCCTGATAAGTTTGAGGCCAGCCAGAACTACATAGTGAGACCTTGCTTCAAAACAAAAACAAAAAACCAATTCCCCATCCCAAAACAAAATTAGCAACAAAGTTATTTGAGATTTTTTTGTTTGTTTATTTACTTATTATTTAGTGTGTAGAAGGATACAAGAAGTGTGGAGGTCAGGTAACAACTATAGAGAGTCAATTCTCTCCCATGTAGGTCCTAGTAACTAAACTCCGGTCATCAGGTATGGTGGCACCTTTGCCCATGCAAGCTCCAATTCTTTATGTCTAATTGTTATTGCTTAATTTTTTAGTTTATCATATAAAATAATGGGCTTTAAAATGAGAAATGATTCACAAAACTTGTTTGATTTTTTGTTTTTGTTTCATTTTGTTTTAAGATAAAGTCCCAATGTAGTAGTGTTGGCTGTCTTGGAACTCACTCTGTAGACCAAGCTGGCCTCAAACTCACAGAAATTCACCTGCCTCTGCCTCCCAAGTGCTAGGATCAAAGGCATGTGCCACTGTGCCCATTTTCTGTGTGTCATCTTTGAGTAGACCCTATGCTAATAATGTTCTCTATATCACCCAAGTTTTAGTCTATGTGCTGCTGATGTGAGCACACAGCCTCTTAGTTTAGGTATAGTGACTTGATTCTTTGGTGCAAGGGAAAATACCTTGATTGGGAACAGGCATTAAAGTCTCATTGGGTAAATGTGCTTGCTTCTAAAAGGAGAGAACCAACTCCCTAAAGTTGTTCTCTGATCTTTACATAGGCTCTGTGGCATGGATGTGCCCAAACACAGATAAATATATGTAATTTAGAATACAAAGGGAGACAAAACTCAGGGAAGTGAACTTTCTCTGTTTCTCAAGTGGGCATAGATAATCAAGAGGCTAATGATTATAGACGCTGATAATGTTTAATGAGGTCCATAATATTTTTCTTTCTACTTTTCTTTATAGTTAGAAATTTTCCTTAGTAAAAATTTGATTTCAGCTTGTTAGTGTTGGCACATGCCTTTAGTCCCAGCACTCAGGAACCAGAAGCAGGCAGGAACCAGAGCCACATAGAGAAACCCTGTCTAGAAAAACAACAACAAGACAATAACAACAACAAAGGGAATGAATGATGAAGGATAAGCCCCTCATCTGCCTCCCCTGAGCACTCACCAGGCTCTATAATAAATTTCAATTGATCTTCTCCAGATGTCATGGGGTTGGCATTCCCATTTTAAGAGAGAAACCTTGTTTAGAATGGCTAATTAGCTTTCCTAAGGGGATCCTTGTAACATGGAAAATAAAAGACCCAGAGACAGATATTGGGGTTCAAGCTGAAAATCAGGGAAGCAAAGCAGTCAAGCTACCAGAAAGCCCTGATCTCTAAAAGGGCTGGGGTGTTCCTATGCTCAACATGGCTGGAGAATGAATGCTTGATACTGAGACCTTGCTCCTGTCTTATATAACTCCCTAATGCTGAGATTAACAGTGTGTGATCCCAGTGCTGGAATCAAAAGCAGGAGCTGTTTCTCTTTAGGACTGGATCAATCTCATGTATCCCTGGGTGACCTCAGACACAGAGAGATCCATCTACCTCTTAAACCTGAGTCCTAGTATTACAGATGTATATCACCACTTCCTAGCTTCTGGCTGCTGGGAAGAAAGGCGTGTGCCTGGCTTCTGTGGCTTGTGGCTGACTTTGCTTTCTGAATCCTCAGGCAAGCTTTAATAAATTACAAATAATATATCACTACAGATCCCACTTCCAAACCCATAGCAAAACCTTTGTGACTATGAGGATGGACTAGTACGCACCAATAAAAAAGACTAAGCCTAAGAAGCTCATTAAAGAAATGACCGTTATGCTGAATGGTCTCCTTTCTCTGCAGCTGGTGGTTGGAGACCTTGGCCCAGGTGGGCAGCAGCCCCGCTTGAAGGTGCTCAAGGGACCAACGGTGTTGACAGAAAGCCCACTGCCTGCCCTGCCGGCCTCTGCTGTCACCTTCCTCATGGAGCAACATGAGCCCAGGACGCCAGCCCTGGCACTTGCTTCGGGGCCTTGTGTCTATGTGTATAAGAATCTTAGACCCTACTTCAAGTTCAGCCTGCCCCAGTTACCTCCAAACCCTCTGGAACAAGATCTTTGGAACCAAGCCAAAGAGGTAAGTGGCCTGGGGAACAAGGACACGGCTCCTGAATGAGGAATACCAGACTCTCAGAAGAGTGGGCTTACAAATGGGCCAATAGTGAGTGGTATGCCATAGCCCACCTTTGGCAGCAGCAATCAGATGCTGTGCTCGGTCCCGAGGAATAGCTTCCAAGGAGGCACTGAGCCAGGTCCTTTGGAGAGCAGAAGCTAGAGAAGCCCTCTGCACTAGCCACATTCCTTCCTACCTGTGGGGGAAGGGAAATCAAAGAAGGGGGAGGCTCACTAGAGTGAGTGGGAGATGACCCTGGAGAGTAGGGATACCTAGGGGAGGCAACAGTAAAGAGGATGATGGGCATAAACATGATCCTGAGACTGGAGTCAAAGCAAGGGCTTGAACTTGGGGTTTGTGCCAGGCAGTTGGGAAAAAATCAGAGAGGAAGACATGCCCCTTGTCCCCAAGACTAGATGTAGTGAGCTGGCTAAGGACCCAGTTGCTAGAGCTCACGGGCTCTCCCTTCTCTCCATGCTGACACAGGACCGGATCGACCCCTTAACCCTGAAGGAGATGCTGGAGGGCATCAGGTGAGAGCCCACTTGCCCACTTTCCATTCCTTCATCCCCAAACTCTCCTGTGAACCCTCACTAAAGCCACCATTTTGGCCGCTCTCATTGCAGGGAAAAGGCGGAGGTGCCTTTGTCCGTTCAGTCGCTCAGGTAGGAGGTCTGTGGCAGCAGGGAGTAGTGGGTGTCTAGTCTGGCCCCAGGGGCAGCCAGGCCATAACATGCAGGTGCTAATTCTGTGTGTTTTCAGGTTTCTGCAGCTGGAGATGAGTGAAATGGAGGCGTTTGTGAACCAGCATAAGGCGAAGGTTATCAAGCGGCAGGTAATACCTTCTCTTTCTGTTGCCCTATAGAGGTGCTTACATTTAAATTGTGTATTTTTTGTGTGGTCAGGTGTATATGTGTGCATTCATGGGTGTGGAGGCCAGAGGATGACCTCAGGTACAGTCCTCAGGAATGTCGTCCATGTCCTTTGTCATAGAGTTGACCAATTTACACTAGCCGGCCAGGAAAGCCCCAGTGATCCAGCTGTTTCCGCCTCCCCAGCATTGGTATCACAAGGACATATCACCATGCCTGGCATCTCATGCATGACTTCTGGAGATCAAACTCAGCTCCTACTTGCCAGGCATGCACTTTACCAACAGAATTACATCCCCAGCTCCAACCACTCACATGAGAGGTGGGGAGGAGCTGGGAGAAAGAGAGGGAGTGTGCAATATCAGCAGTTAATGCTAACCCTGAACCTGGAATGGCACTCTGGGGTTTTCCTTCCAGCCATACTACATGTCTAGGCGCTCAAAGTAGAGTACCTCTTTATTTGTAGTTAACAGGAATGGCTCTGAACAGCTGTAACATTATTAATTATCAAACTGATTTTCTTAAGGATAAAGATAATTATGCTCTTCATTACAGAATATTTAGAAAATAAAGAGAAATGTAAAGATGATTCCACTACATAGAGATGCCCACTTACCATTTCTGCACTTTTTTTTCACAAATGTGCTTTTCATTCATGCTGCTTCTCTTAAATAACATTTTGAGAACACCGTGTTTTGAGCCCTAAATAGCCTTTGAGAACTCTATTTTAGTAGCTCATTAATTGTTTAATTGGTTATTAGTGATTTCTGTCATTTGTTTGGTTTGGTTGCTTTGGGTTTGTTTGTGTTTTGGTTTGTTTATGAGACAGGGTTTCTCTGTGTAGTCCTGACTGTCCAGGAACTCACTCTGTACACCAGGCTGGCCTTGAACTCACAGAAATCAGCTGCCTCTGCCTCACAAGTGCGGGGATAAAAGTGTATGCCACCATGGCCTGCTTGGATCGTCTTTTAAAACATGTTTTTGTTGTTTAGAGAGTTTTGTTTTGTTTTGTTTTTGAGATAAGGTCTTTCTAGATAGTTCTGGCTGGCCTGGAACTGAGTAACTTGATTTGTAAGCCAAACTCAACTTGAACATGCAGCAATCCTCCTGCCTCTGCTTCCCCAGTGGTGGGATTACAGGTATGAGCCACATACTCAGCTCTTCAGTGTGTGGCCATGTTGATTTTGACTATATGAATAATTCATAAGTGGTTTAGACAATGTTCATTGTTAAGAATTTAGGTTTATTGCAAAACTGTTTTTCTGTTAACATTCAGACATGCTTGCTCCTCTTTTGCCCTCTCCCTTCCCTCTTCTGGCTCTGCAGACAGTCATCACCACCATGACCACCCTGAAGAAAAACCTGGCTGATGAGGATGCAGTGTCATGTCTGGTGCTGGGCACTGAGAACAAGGAGCTCCTAGTGCTTGACCCTGAGGCCTTCACTATTTTGGCCAAGGTCGGTATCAGGTCTACCCTGGCCGTGTATGAGGTCCAGGCTGCATTCCCCTTCTTGTTCGCTCAGTGTCCATTCACTGAAGAAAAATGAGAATGTGTAGTTAGGCACGGAAAAAAAAGATAGATGTCCTAAAAGCTCACCACTACTGGGTTAGTATGAAAGATTTGGCATGGGTCCTTCTAGATGTTTTCATGAGTGGCATAGTTATCTAACTTGATTCAAACATTGTAATTTTATACCGAGGTATATTTCTGTTCCAATTTCATTACTGCTGCTGTGATAAAATACACTGACCAAGAGCAACTCGGGAAGAAAGGGTTTGATTGAAGTACAACTCCAAGTTCAGTTTATCACTTCAGGGAGGCCACGTCACATCCACAATCTAAAGCAGAGAGAGAGGAACACACCTATGTTCTCTGTCTGCTTGTGCTAAATCTCCAGCTGTCTTTCTTCACTCACACAGTTCAGACCTGGCCACTAATGGTTACTGCCCACATTTGAGGTGTGCCTTGCCACCTCAATTAACAATCAGGACAGTTTCCCACAGGCCAACTTGATCTAGGTAGTTCCTCAACTGAAACTCCTCACAGGCGAGTCAAGGTTTTGTTAAGCTGATGTTAGGTGCAACCAATACAATATCCTTAGATAGACAGACTCATGTGCACAATCCGACTATTACCATATGATAACAGTGTCTTCCCTAGGTTTACAAAAACACATCAACCTGCTTTATCTCCCAAGTGTTGTTATTATGGTATGTATAACCACTCCCAGCTTCATATCAACACTTCTAAAGACCCCCACATAGCCATTCTCTATGTAGAAACATATGCAAATACATGTATAGATAGATGTATTTATCTTGCCACTTGGTGTCTACTTAAATGTTTTTCATTATTATCAGTGCTGCTACAATGGTCTTCCATGTTCAAACAAAGCAGACAAGCTTTGTATGTCTACTTAAGTAAGTCTGATGCTTTTGTGGAGGAGGCAGAGTTTAGCCAAATGGTATAGACTTAAAGCTGTGTAGGAATTTAAGCTGTGGCCAGTAAGAAGTGAAGAGACTAGGGTTTTAACCAAGAATTAGCAGTTTGTTCCAACTAGGGTCAGTGTGTTTTGAATCTTTTCTCTGCAGATGAGCCTGCCCAGTGTCCCTGTCTTCCTGGAGGTTTCCGGCCAGTTTGATGTGGAGTTCCGGCTGACTGCTGCCTGCCGAAATGGGAGCATCTATATTCTGAGAAGGTAGCCACAGCTGTGGCCTCAAAGACTGGTGCTTTCAGAGGCTTACAAGATGAACAGGGGGTCTGAGGACTGGACTTTGGGTTTGAAAAGATAATGAGAATTCATAACGGAGGTAGAATTGGTGAGGATAGAAGGAAGAGGTTGGAATGATGGTTGTAACACATGAACAGCGCAGAAGCAGAGGAAACATATAATCTCTTGTATTTGTTATATTGTTTTATAATATACACGACACATGCATTAGTTTGCTATTCCAGACAGTCTTAATTCAAGAATTTTATTGAGCATCTACTATGCATTTAGCATTGTACAGGGTGTCGGAGAGACACTGATAATGGGATGCTGTAAATATGTTTCCTGCCTTCGAGGGAAGTCAGATAGTAAACATACCAGAGCTAGATGAGTGCTTATTGAGGAGCAATGGAGGCTCAGTGGGAAGAGAAACATCATCTGTGGTGGTGGCTTGAAAGGGTGTGTACCTGGAATCCCAGCATTTGAAAAGCTAATCAGAGAGAATTCCTAGAGCCCAGGATTCTGCACCAACTTTGGCCAGAGCAAGAGCCCAGAAGCCAGTGGAGTCATTAGATGGTCTGAAGAAAAGTAGTAACAGCCTATGCTTGAAAGGCAGAAACTACCCAGTAGAGCTAATTTCTGGAAAAGGAAATTACATATTAAATACATATATAGATGTATTTACCTTACCACTTATGTCCATTTAAATGTTTTTCATTATTATCAATGCTGCTATAGTGGTCTTCCTGTGTTCAAACAAAGCAGACAAGCTTTGTATGCCTATTTAAATAATTCTGATACTTTTATGGAAGAGGCAGAGTTTAGCCAAATGGTATAGACTTAAAGCTGTATAGGAATTTAAGCTGTGACCAATAGGAACTGAATTGAAGAGAGTAGAATTTTAACCAAGAATTAAGTTTCTTCTGAAAAAGAAAAACTAAAATGGAGAGACATGAAAACTGAAGGTGACATCAATAGTAATGCACTTTTTTGATAAAACCAATAAACTTCCCAGGTCTAATAACACTGGCTAAACTGTTCTAAGGTAAACATTCACAATTCTGAAATCCCAGGCTGTTACACTTGTCACCATTGTGAAGGGCAGGAGGGGACAGAGTAGGAAAACATACCTTGGATAATACATTATCTAAGATCACACATATACAAAATGGTAGATGGAGAAATAACTCCATTATCTACTCAGGACCAGGATTGCTTTCAGATTAATCTGGAGGTGTTTAGAAGGGAGATAGAGGCAAGGCTTCTCTGGGCAGAGAGATTGTGTGTTTATTCCACAGAGACTCCAAACACCCCAAGTATTGCATCGATTTGAGTGCCCAGCCTGTGGGGCTGGTCCGGGTACACAAGATCCTGGTGGTGGGCAGCACCCAGGAGAGTCTGCATGGCTTCACCCACAAGGTGTGGTCTCTGGCAAGCCCCTCCCCCTCCCCATAATCCCAAAGCTTTCCCTTTCCTGCTGCTCCAGCTGCCCTGTCTTTCCACTTGAAGCCCTGAGCTCCCTGCAGACACACTGGCTATTTCTTGCTAGGGTAAGAAGCTGTGGACAGTGCAGATGCCTGCAGCCATCCTGACCATGAACCTCCTGGAGCAGCGTTCCCGGGGCCTGCAAGCTGTCATGGCTGCTCTGGCCAATGGGGAAGTCCGCATTTACCGTGACAAGGCCCTGCTTAATGTCATCCATGCCCCTGTGAGCATACCTCCAGCATTGCCCCTGGCTCTTCCTTACTCCAGACCTATTTTTTTTTTCCTTTTATAGTTTTTTATTTAGTCTTTGACAATTTGGTATGTACTTGATCTCATTCACCACATTCCCCTTTTAACTTCCTCTGATAATGTTTTCCCCAGCAAGTCTCTTCTACTTTCATCTCTCTCTCTCTCTCTCTCTCTCTCTCTCTCTCTCTCTCTCTCTCTCTCTCTTAATAATGTACTGAGTTTAATTAAGGCTGTTGGCATGTGTATGGGGTGGGGGTGTATTTACTGGATCATGACAAAACAGTGGCTACACCCCTAAAGAAAAATGGCACCCATACCCCCAGCAGCCATTGACTGCCAGTAGCTGCTTAGCTTGGGTGCAGCCTCACCAGCGCTTCCCCCATCCATCTAGCCCTGCTCCTTTGCTGCCTCTCCTGACCCCTTAGGGACAAGTCTCAGAAATACTGGTTGAACCCATCATGGTGTGTACAGTTGCTACATGAGGGTGGATGAATGGCAGAGGAACATTCTAGACTAGACCAGCAACAGCATGAACAAAGGCTGCAGGGCATAAAAGTTGTTTTTGTTTTTTTTTTTTTTTTTGAGACAGGGTCTGACTGGCCTGGAATTCACTGGACCAAGTTGGCCTCTAATTCACAAAGATCTACCTGTTTTTGCCTCCTGAGTTTAATCCCTCCTGGGATTAAAAGCCTGTGCCACTCTTTACTTTCATTATTAAAATATAATTACATCATTTTCTCTTTCCTCCCTCCAACCCTTTGAATGTACCCATCCTCCTTCCTCTCTCAGAACTGTTGCCTCTCTTTATTTAGTTGTTAATGTTTTACACGCAGTCTGATCAGTTCATTTTAGTATGTATATGATTTCAGGGCTGACTATTTGGTATTGGATAACCAGTTGGGACTTTTTTTTATTTATTAATTTTATGTATATGGCTGTTTGCCTGCATGCATGTGCACCATATGTGCACAGTTCTCATGGAATCCAGAAGAGGACATAGGACTCCTGCATATAGAGTTACAGATCATCATGTGGATACTGGGAATCAAATCTGGGTCCTCTGGTAAAGCAGTCAGTGCCTTTAACTGCTGATCCATCTCTCCAGTTCCAGAGATATACATACATACACACACACACGTATGTATACACATATACACATATTCCATGTATGCATTTGCCAGGGAGATCACAGAGAACAGTTTCAGGGATGAGCTCTCCTTCCCCCATGGGTTCTGGGGATTGAACTCAGATTGTCAGACTTGCACAGTAAGAGCTTTTACGCTCAGAACCATCTCACCAGCCTCGAGTGAACATTCTTAATGGAAAAATGTAAGTGGTTTTATGAACACTATGTAAAATCTGAAAGCAGTGGTTGGGCCTGCTGGTACTGAGAGGGTAGGGGTTAGGAGAACAGAGAGGAGAGAACTGGGTAAGATAAATTGGAGTCTGACATGGAAGATTTTAAATATCCTGCCAAGAAAAGCAAAAGCTGTTGGAGGTTTGTGGTTTTGAAAAGCAGTAGAGGCAACCAAAGACACAATGGAGGCACAAACTAGGTGGCTAAAGAAACTGAATAAAAGACCACCCCAAAAGAGGGCTAGGGTTGTTTAGTTAGAACTTCAGCAGGGCCAGTGAGGTGGATGAGAGATGGATGATCCAAGAAATATTTCCAAGGCAACATTGCCGTAGCTTTCCTGCACATTTTGCCTATTTTTACTTCCATCTGTGCTCTCCCCTCTAGCCCATCTTGCTTTCCTTCTCAAGATATTTTCCCAGGTAAAATCTAGTTTCTCCACATAGGATGCAGTAACCAGCCTTTGCTTTGGACGATATGGGCGAGAAGACAACACCCTCATCATGACCACTCGAGGTAAGGACTTGGATCTGGGAAAGATGGCGTGGCCTAGAGTGAAGAGGATGAGATGTAGAAAAGGATGTGGATAGAGACAGGTGGAAAGCCAGGCCTGCGGACATGTCCCATATAAGGTGGGATCAGGTCATCAGCACTTGGATTTTTCTGCCTAGGAGCTAATCCTGGTCAGACTGGTGCCTCTCCAGTTTACCCATCACCCTCAACACCCACCATAGTGCCAGAACATCACAGTACTTCATAAACAGCTACTAAATATATGGATGAATTAGTGATAGGAGACTGATGGAAGCCATATGTGCTGTCACACATCTGAAACAAGCAGCACTTGGGAAGGTGGAGGCAGGTGGGTGAGGTAGTCAAGGTCATGTTTTGACAGAGGGAATCCAAAGCTCTCTTAAGCTACATCAGTCTCTTCTTCAGGAGTAAAAAAGACAGCTCTGAGTTATTTCATTCCTCCCAGGAAGTGAGTCTCATTATAAAGACAGACAGGTATGGGCGTGAGCATACTTGTTTGGGAAGAAAGGGGACAGGGGAAAGAATATGGTTATTTTGCCCACTTCTCAGGGGGTGGTCTGATCATCAAGATCCTGAAGCGTACAGCAGTGTTTGTGGAAGGGACAGGTGAGACGGGCCCACCACTAGCACAGACCACAAAACTCAATGTGCCCCGAAAGACCCGGCTGTATGTGGATCAGACCCTGCGAGAGCGGGAAGCTGGCACAGGTAAGACTCAAGAGAACACAGAGAATCCCACTGGGTGCCTTGAACATGAGAGACAACTTAGCCATCAGGGAAGGTCAGAGGTGTAGCTGTCAAGTAACGAACTAATCCTCAAGGCAGAGAGTGCTGTTAGTGTCAGTCAGGGCCCTCAGCATTCACAGCCAGCAGTTACTTCCAGATGCAGGACTGCAGGACTTCTCAAGAGAAAAGGAGAAATTCATCAGGATTCTTTCTCTCGTTAAGTTTTCCTGCTCACCCCATTCATTCATTACCTGTGATGATAACTAGGCATACGAGGTGTCTTGAATTGATCCATCCCCTATCTTGGGAGCTCAATCCACCTAGCCAACTTCATGGCTGGTGCTAGATGGTTTCTCCCAAGGGCTGCTGGAGCACAAACAAGGGAGTGAAAAATACTTCTGGGCATGATGATGGTGTTTGCCTTTAATCCCAGCACTTGGGAGGCAGAGACAGTAGATTCTATGATCTTACACAGTAAGACCCTGTCTCAAAAACAAATCAAACAAAATACAACAAAACATGTAAGTGAAACAATGGATAAATGGAGTTACATTCTATCAGATGAGATATAAAAGTCCTAGAATCTCATAATATTGGGCTGGAGAGATGGCGCAGCAATTAAGAGCACTGACTGCTCTTCCAGAGGACCCAGAATTGATTCCTAGCACCCACTTGACAGCTCACAACCATCTTAAGGCCTTTTTCAGTGGATCTGATGCCACCTTCTGGCCTCTATAGGCACTGCACTCATGTGCACATACCCACATGTAGGTACACATTTACACATTAAAAATTGAAAAACTTGGGTGCTTTTTATATAAACTAATATCTGTTCACAATAGCAAAGAGCTCTCTAGAAATAAATATAATAGAAAATATACAAAGTCTAGTAAAGAAAATTATAAAACTATCTTCATGATGGATGTGGTGCATGCTTTTAATCCCAGCACTTGGGAGGTGGAAGATGGGATATAAAATTCATGATCAGCCTTAGCTACATAGTGAGACCCTGACTACAAAACAAGAGCAAAAGAACAGCACCAAGGCAATTAGAGTGGGGGCTGTGGCTCTAGTAGTGGATTTGAAGAAGGGTCATCCTCACCTGGCAAATGGTTAGGGGTAAGAGATGAGCCAGGGGGGCTTGGGGATAGTGGTGCAGTGGGTGGGACAGGTACAGTGAGTGACTCAGGGTGAGCTTGTGTGGATGGTACCTCAGATGGAGATGACCATGGGGCAGTTCAAACTCAGGCAGTTCTGGGCACCCAAAAGCTGCAGGGGGACACACTACACAACAGTGTCTGCACAGCTTGAACTTGGCATGTGGATATGGGAACAAGTTTGAAGCCTTAAGGAACTGGAAGCTGATGTTCTTTGGGGTGGCCAGAGTCAGGGCAGGCCCCATATTATCCAGAGAACAAGATGGTAGATGGTGGGTGAGAAGACCAAGGCCATGCCCAGCCTGGAAACAGGGAACATCAGCTTTGAGAGCTAGACAGAAGGAACCATGGGTGGAGACTGAAATGAAGAAATGGGGTGTGGTCCACAACATCCAGTGTGCCCCTGCCTATCATGCCTGCCTTCTCCATTCTTCTCACATAATCTGAACAAGAGTACTCTCCCCTCTCACTGCTTCACTCAGCCTTTGTGTTCCCCCTGTAGCCATGCACCGAACCTTCCAGACAGACCTCTACCTGCTGCGCCTACGAGCTGCCAGAGCCTATGTACAGGCCCTGGAGTCCAGCCTGAGCCCCATGTCAACCACAGCTCGTGAGCCACTCAAGCTGCATGCTGTGGTAAGCACCAGGAGCAGGGATATTAGGGGCAGGGGTGAGTGGGATCCTCCTGTGTAATTGGTTGTTTTACTCTTTACTCTTCTGAGGGCCTGCCACCCAGCTCCCAAGCAACCCCTGGAGATCTTCCTTTCTTCCTTCCTTCCTTTCTTTTCTTTCATTCGTTCATTCTTTCTTTCTTTCTTCCTTTCTTTCTTATGAATGCCCAGCCTTAGCTTGGCTTGTTCCTAGTCAGCTTTTCTTAAGTTAAATTATCCTGTCTACCTTTTGCCTCTGGGCTTTTTTTTTTTTTTTTTTTTTTTTTCCCTCTTTATTTCTGTATGCCTTTCTTCTTTACCCATGGCTTGCTGTGTAGCTGGGTGGTTGGTCCTTGGAGTCTTCCTTTCCTCCTTTTCTTGCTCCTTGATTTCCCCCTGATAAAGATTTCTCCTCCTCTTTATTCTCTCTGCCTGCCAGCCCCGCCTATCCTTTATCCTGCCTAGCTATTGGCCATTCAGCTCTTTATTAGACCTATCAGGTGTTTTAGACAGGCAAAGTAACATGGTTTTACAGAGTTAAACAAATGCAGCATAAAAGAATGCAACACATCTTTGCATCATTGAACAAATATTCCACAGCATATATGAATGTAACACATCTTAAAATTATATTCCACTACACTCCTGCTTGTAGGTGAGCACCCAGAGCCAGCCAACCCTTTGCTCCCTTCTCACCCACAGAGGCCCTGTTCTTCCGAGAGGTTGCTCTTAATGCCTGTGCTGCTTCTCAGGAAGGCTGCTCAGTCTTCTATACTATCTTCTCTGTGGCTGGCTACAGAGGGACATACTTCCCTGTTCCATGCTGTACCTTAAACAAACCCCTGGGCTGGAGTGGGGTATAAGCACAAAGTAGCTACAGTGGGACATTTCTTCCCAGGAATCTAGAGTTTAAGAAGAGAGTGATTTCTGTTGGCATGGGCAGCATAAGGGAATAGGACTGCCTGGTACAGGGAAGAGTCACTGTGATCTGACCTTAGGTGCCCTGGGCATGTGCGCGCGTGCGCACACACACACACACACACACGTATAGATACAGACATAATACATATGGACATATGCAGACACACACATACTGACATACTGATACACAGGCATATACATATAGACACACACACACACACACACACACAGGCATATACATATAGACACACAGACACACACACACAGATACACACAGACACACATACATACACACAGAGACACACATATACAGATACAGAAACACATACATACACACAGACACATACATATAGACACACAAAGACATACAGACACAGACACACAGGCACATGCATACAGACACACATACATACAGACACAACCACACACATACAGACACATACAGATGCACATGCACACATACAGACACAGACAGACAGACAGACACACAGACACATACAAATGCACATGCACACATATACAGACACAGACAGACAGACACACACACACACACACAAACAAACACACACATGCACATACACACGAACAACCTCAAGGCCCTAACAAGTTCTCAGTGAGCCTAAATGTGCTGTCAGAGCCACCCATATTCTAATTGCTCCTTTTTTCTTCTTCTCCTCTTCCTCCTCTTCCTCCTCCTTCTTGTCTCCTTTTCTCCATCTTCTTCCTTCTTTTGTCCTTCTTCTTCTCCTTCTTCTCCTCCTTTTCTCCTTCTCCTCCTTCTTCCTTCTTCTTTCTTCTTCTTCTCTTGCCCCGCTAAGACAGGGTTTCTCTGTGTAGCTCTGGCTGTCCTGGAACTCACTCTGTAGACCAGGCTGGCCTCAAATTCAGAGATCTGCCTGCCTCTGCTTCCAGAGTGCTGGGAGAAAGGTGTGGGCCACCATGCGCAGCTTCAGCTGTTTCTTTTCTGAAAAGGTGGTTAGAGAGAAGAAAGGGTTACAGAGCCACATAGAATGGAACTGTGGGGTGCATTTAAATCATTGAGCCATTGGGATAAGAGTAGAAGGCCATCAGGCCCTGGGGTCAGTGATGAACACGGCTGCAGCCCCAAGCCAACTTTACTTACAACTCCTTAAGTAGTCTCCATCAAAACCTACTTGATCTGTGCCTTTGCCATCCTGTACACCTTCTGGGCTTCTGTGCTCTTTAAGAAGCAGAGTGACAGAACTGGAAAATAGCAGCTTGAGGGCGTTGACGGGGAAGCAGCAGGTTAAGTATGGTATTCAGTGTTCAAGTCCAATGTCCTAAGGACCTCTCCTTCTACTCTTTCCACAGGTTCAAGGCCTGGGCCCCACTTTTAAGCTCACACTTCACCTACAGAATACCTCAACAGCTCGGCCAGCAGTGGGGCTGCAGGTCTGCTTCCTGTACAATGAGGCACTCTATGCCCTGCCCCGGGCCTTCTTCAAGGTACTGGGTCTCCATGTTGATTCCACTGTTGGGCTCCAACAGTCAGGGCTAGGGCTGATGAGATTTTCCTGTTAGACTGAGGTAAGGGAGTGGCCAGCAGGCCAACATAAGCCAGAGACCAGACTCAGTTCCTGCCTCCACTGCCAAAAAGACTTCAAGGAGCCACACAGAGGAGCCGGAAAAGAGCAGAGTGAACCCGTCCTTTGTCCCTGCCCCATGCTGTTGAGGAGAAGGGCAGGGAGCTCCAGAACTCATGCTGCTTCCCAGCTGTTCCTGCAGGAGAAAATGAGCCACTCTGCCCCAGTCACTACTGAAGCAAAAGCCGGTTTCCCCAGGGCTCAAGGCATCCTCAAATTTTGAGGAGCAATAACCAAGACTGTTGGATAGGGAGGAACTGGCCTTGGTAGCTGTCAAGAGGTCTAGGTTTAGTCACAGACACAGGTGGGCCCCAGGCATGCACTTACCCTCCCTGCACATTGCTCCCTGGATCTGGCTAGTCATCCCTGCCCAGGCTGAAGAACCCTGAGATGCAGCTGCGAGAACAGACACAAACGCTTTAGAAGCTGCCAAACACTGTCTGGGAATGTGGGCTTTGAGGGCTAGTTTACTTTTGTCCCCTAAACATAGGTCCCTTTGCTGGTGCCAGGACTCAGTTATCCACTGGAGACCTTTGTGGAGAGTCTCAGTAGCAAGGGCATTTCAGATGTAATCAAGGTAGGTTCCTTTTGGTATTTCAGAGAGGTAAGTGGGACCTGGGGAAGGCAATAGGATGAAGGTGGACAGGACTCTGGCTGCAGTGGGATTTGTCAGCACAGCAGAGGCCTCCCCGCCTTCCCATCCTGCTGACAGATAGGCTGATAGCCTATCATTTGAGCCAGCACAGACAGAAGAGTTGGTGTTCCCAAAGAGGAGAGGTCAGGGTGTGTGCCCCCTCTTCCATGTCTTCTCCTCCCTAGGTGCTGGTGCTCCGGGAAGGCCAGAGTGCACCCCTGCTGAGTGCCCACATCAACATGCCTGTGAGTGAGGGGATGGCAGCTGCCTGAACCCTGGACATTCAAGCCTCCATGGAATGGAGCCAGCCAGATCCATGACTTCCAGTGCCCCCAGGCCACGCCCCCACACAGCAGTGTAGTAAGGCATCAGCTTCCTGTTCCTCTCTGAAACAATCCCTGCCCCCTACCCTTGCTACTGGGCCTGATCCACAGGACAGGGAGTACTCAGAATCATCTCCTCCTCCCTGGGAGCCCTGCAGAGCACTGACAAGATTCCTGCTGCCTACCACCCTCCCTAGCTCTTTAAAGAAACCTCAGGTCCCAGGAAGAGACCTGAGATGATCAAGGTGAGCAGAGGGCCATCCTTCCTTACTCCACTCATCTGTTTCAGATCAAGGCCACAATTGCTTGAGGTCTTAGCCTGGGAATTAGGCTGCAACTGCCCTCTTTGCTCTTTGAGACTTCAGGGAGCATGGTTTCTGCCAGCTTAGCTTGCACATAGGTGCTAAGTTTCCTCATGAAAAAGAGGCTCCACTTCTACCCTGCAGTCTGGGAGACACAGGGCTCTGCCCACAGTCTTGGGCCAGCCACAAAGATTGCCAAGGGAGGTGGTAGAGGAGGTAGAGGGGATCCCTGTGAGGAGCCAGCAGTCCCAGCCCCAGCCAGGGCTCCCACACAGCAGCTATTCCTGACCTGAGCGCTTGAGTCCAGAGCATCATTCCTGAAATGGAATATCAGGCTAGATAGCAGAGCCTAGGGCTGGTGGCACCAGGACGACCTGGGAAGTGGCCCAAGAAGTGATGCCTATAAGTACCTGTCAGGATGCACTTAGGCCCAGAAATCAAAGATGGTCCAGAGGGTGGAATGTGGCCAGAATGTGCACGAGGTCCCTGAAAAGGTACACATGAGTGGTATGGAATGAAGCTGAAGGCTAAATGAAGACGTGTTTAGATTCCAAGTACCAGCAACCCTTCCTGGCCCTCCTCAAAGACCATTCTGAACCACTTGTGAACCAGGAGCCCTGTTCCATGGAGACTAAAGTTTTCTCCTGTCTGACCAGGTTCAGCCTGGTGTGTGGTACACAGCTCAGGCCTGGCCTGCCTCCTCAGGTTTCCACCTCCTTTCCAATTAAAGGAGAATTTGACTGGGTAAATTCCAAACTGCTTTCAGCTCTAACACCATCAGAGCTTGGCAGCTCCATGGGAGGAAGGGAAGAATTGGTCCAAAAAATGATATTTAACTGCACAGCTTTTGCCCACAAGACCAATGGCTCCAATCTGTCCACCACTGTCCAGTAACAGCCTCTGAGCCCACTTGAGAATCAGGGTGACACTGCCCACCTTGACCCTTCCAAAGGGTACATTGGGGGCCAGGCTAAGAGACAGTGGGCCAAGGAAATAGTCCATCCTCCTTCCCATATTGACTGACTGCCTAAGCACGGGTGGCAAAGGGTTTCTTTCTGCATCAACCACTGGAGGCACAGCTGGATCAAGCCAAGAAGTCTAACTGGAGATGGAAAGATGAGAGAGGGAGGGAGTATTGCTGTCAGTCAAATCCCAGCCTACCCTGCAGAACTTACCAGGGATGGAAGGTCTGCTCAAGAAGGTGATGGCCCTTGTCACAGGTATTTTGTGAGTGGGGCTGTGCTGTTACAGGTTGTGTATTGGGTCAGATGACATTCCAGCCCCTTTCACCCCAATCAAGCTGTGAAACCAGAACAAAACATTTGATGTGCACTCTCCATAGCTATTCATTATGATACAAGGGGAGAGACACATGCCCAGGCCCTACCATTAACACAATGTCATTCTGTGTACTGGTTAGTAAGAAATGTATGGTTGGGTCCATGGTGGTGCTCACCTGTAATCCCAGCACTTGGGGGGCAGAGATAGGCATTTCTCTGTGAGTTCGAGGCCAGCCTGCTCTACAGAGCTAGTTATGGGACAGCTGTTACTTAGAGAAACCCTGTCTTGACCACCAAAGGTGGGGGGCTCTGTGTCCTGCTCCTTATGGACACAAAGGGACATGAGCATAAACAGTGCAGAGTGCCCAGTACACACAGGAGTGAGAGCACTAAGAAATTGTGAACATTAGGGATTAGACAACTCTGTATCTGTTTTCATAATACTTCATTTGAAACACACACCTATGTAGTGATCTGGAATAGACTATTTAATACAACATAAATGCCCTCTTCCCATTTCACCAGACCATCCCATACAACAGCCATTTTCATTAAGTTGTTTTATTTTTTTGAGCTAGGGTTTCTCTGTGTAATATCCCTGGTTGTTCTGGAACTCACTATGTAGACCAGGCTGGCCTAGAACTCCCAGAGATCCATCCACCTCCCGAGTTCTGGGATTAAAGGTGTGCACCACCACAGCCAGGCTTCGTTAGAAATATTTTTAAAATACAAAGATTTTTTAAAAAATGTTTCCCTTTTAATTATATATGTAGGGTTTATGTCCATGAGTACAGGTACCTGAGGAGGCCAGAAGAATGTGTTGGATCCCCAGGAACTGGAGTTACAGGTGGTTGTGAGCTGCCTAGTGTAGGTGCTGGCAGCTGACCTGGGCCTTCTGCAAGAGCAAGAGTTCTTAACCACTGGGCCATCTCTGCAGCCCCTGTACTACTCCTGCTTCAGACTTTTGTAATAGATGAGGCTTTAGTGTTATTGAGACCACTCCCCTGCTTTTCATGTTTTAGGTCATCTATACTCACTGTTTGCATTGCTGTTTATACTGATATGTGAAAATCTTAGTAAAGCTGAGAATTAACTAAATAACCATTTTTGAACTTTTAGATCTTTTAATGTAATTGGCACCTGCTTTTTTTATTGCTTAGTTTTCTAATATACAACTGAAATTTTCCTCTCCAAGTTTCAGTTCTTTCTCAGCACACTTCCTTCATACCCTACTTTGTGTAGACTCCTATAAAAGGTTCCCTTTTCCCTTATCCAGGGCTAGATCCCCCGATTCCTGGGCTAGGTGTTCTTCTCATTCTGCCCTCATTTGGTAAAAGATTCTCATGGGTAACTTCTTCTTAAAGCCCATTCAAGCCTTTATACCACTGCTTTATACCACATTGCTGTATTCAGCTCACACATTTGAGTGGTAAACAAAAGCTGGAAATAGTTTTCCTGTAGACAAAGCTCCCATGTCCTCTAGCTTTTGTGCTGGTTCTCCTGGGTCCTGATTGTTGCTCTGTGAGGTGAGGCTAGATGGGCATTGAAATGTAAAAGACATGGTTTGAAATGTAAAAGACAACAACATTCTGTCTCAGAAAACAAAGCAAATAATGACCCTAACAGAAGAGAGAAGAAAATCAGGATCAATCCAGTTCTCTCAGGAAGTACCATTTATCAGCTGTTGGGCTTAACTGGTACTCCCTCCAGAGAGGGTTTCAAACCATTTTCCTTAATTTTCAGCTTCTCTGTTCAGTCCTCAGGGTATACTTTCAAAGATGCATTTAACTTTTGCATTTACTTGTGTGTAGCCTACCAGCATCTAATTTGTAAAACTCATAGTGAACTTATTTATTTAAACAATCTATTCCCTCTAAAGTCAGAAATGGGTGAGGGGATGGGGTGACTCAGTGATTAAGAGCACTTGCAAAGGATCTGAGCTCAGTTCCTGGCACCCAAATGGTGTGGCTCACAATTGTCTGTAACTCTAGTTTCAAGGGAGCTGACCTCCACTTTTTGGCCCTAGGCACCCATGTGGTGCACATACATACATGTAGGCAATCATACATATAAAGTTTAAAATAAAGCAAAAACCAGGTGGTGGTAGCACATGCCTGTAATCCTAGCACTTGAGAGGCAGAGGCAGCCCTGGTCTACAAAGCAAGTTCTAGGACAGCCAGAATTGTTACACAGAGAAATCCTGTCTCGAAAAACAACACACACACACAACAAAAAGGAAGCCAGATATGGTGGTTCACACTTTTAATCTCAGAATTCAAGAAGGTTCATTTTCAAATACAAAAATGAATCCACTCAAAAGACATGTTTGGGGGGGGCTTTCTTGAAAATATTTAAAGCTGATATGATGGTGCACATCCCAGCACTTGGGAGGCAGAGGAGGAGGCAGGCAGATCTTTGAGTTTGAGGACAGCCTGATCTACATACATGGTGAGTTCTAGGCCAGCCAGAGCTACACAGTGAGACCCTGTCTCAAATACTAAGAAAGTATTCATTGCAGGGATAAACCATGTTCATGACCTGGACGCTGAATCTCACACAGATGCTGGCTTTTGACAAGCTGGTGTGCATGTGTTGGGCTCCCCTTTTATTGGTGAAATCGGAGGAGGTGGCTCTCAGAGCAATGGCACCTAGTGGGTGATTCCCACTAAGTAGGGGCAGAAAAAAAAAAAATAACCAGTGGAGCAAAACAAAGTTTGGATGTGATATAGTCAGAGCTCCATGTGGAAGAAAAAGTACTACCACTACATGCAGTAATTTGGACACATCTCAGAACTAATATTAAGTGAAAAGGCAAGCCACAGAAGAAAAAAACCTGGTGCGATTCCATTCATATACAACCAAAACATGCAGAACCAGTACAAACATATATAACAAGCAAAGCAAGGGGTGATTAAGAAGCAGTGTGTCTCATCTTCCACCAGGGAGGGCACAGCAGGGGACTCAAGGGGTGGCTGCTTTCCCAGACAAACTGTGGTGAGAGTTCTAAAGAACTTCATATTTCAGAATCACATGAAATTAAGTATTCTGCAGGGTGAAGGCAATACAGAAGAGAACAGATCGCCAGCGCCTCACACAGCATTGAGTGTTCCTAATGTCTTTTTAGTGGCAAACAATGACCTCTAGGAGGGTAGACTCCTGGGGACTTAGCACATTATTATCTGCAAATGACAGCCAACATTTTTTGTGGACTTAGCTCTATTTTTGATCCAACCCCCATTCCTACCTTTCTTGTTACCCCTGAGATCCAGAGCTGCTCTGATCCAGTCTGTCTTATTACCCTCCCACATTCTAGAAGGGTGGCTGTAGAGGTGGAAGAGGTCTGTGGGGAAGAGCAGTTCACACCTCCTGATCCAAACTGTCCAACACCCCATCCAAGGTTAAACGGAAGCCTCACCACACAGTCCACCACACCACAAAGTGCTGGGGAAGTTCTGCCTTGCTTCTCCTCCCCTCTCTTCAGGAACATGTAATTTTTATTTTTGATTCTCTACTAAGACAAGCTCCCAAATTCTGTCATGTTTCAAAACGTTGTCAGCTCTTTGGTATACAAGCATCTATCTTCCTTCCCCTTATAAATTTATATATTTTTATTTCTCTATTTTAGTGAATCTAAAGGCAAACCTAACTCTGGATGCTAAAGCCTGTGTTTAGCTGTTAACTGTATTTGCTGAAAGCTGGGTGTGTGAATTCACCATACCTGTAATTCCCAGGGATTGGAAATCTGAGGCAGGTGGATTGCTGTAAGTTCCAGGCCAGCCTGTGACACTAAATGAGACCCTGTCTCAATAATAATAATAATATAAATAAAATTTGAAAGCAAAGCAGGGGGCTGGAGAAATGGTTAGAGGTTAAGAGTGTATGTTACTCTTGCAGAAGACCCAAGTCAGGTGGCTCACAACAACCTATAAGTCCAGCTCCAGGGGATTCAATGCCCTCTTCTGGTCTCCATGGGCACCCATATATACATGCCCATATGTGCATGAAAGTACACAAGTGTGCACAGACAGACAGATCCACATACACGACAAACAAAAATATAAAAAAAAAAAAAAAAAAAAAAAAAAAACCATCCTTCACAGGTCCTGGAACTCATGGAAGCTGGTTGGTTTTGCTCTGATGTTTCTCCTACTCACTTCAGCTGTGAAAAGTAAAGCAGAGTCAAAGACCTGGATTCAAATCTAACCTTTTAGGCCAGGCATGGTGGTGAATGTTTTAATTGTACCACTCAGAAAGCAGAGGCAAGCCAGTTTTGGTGACACATGCCTTTAATCCCAGCACTTAGGGGGAAGAGGCAGGCACATCTCTGAGTTTGAAGCCAGCATAGTCTACAAAGTTAAGGCCAGTAAGGTCTATATTTCTATCCTACAATCTTGTCACATGGTCTAGCAGGGCTTTACGTGTTTTTACAGAACAAAGATCCTAACTCAATCCCCACATACAGATGAGCTACAAGATCTTCCTTGAAACCCCTGCTGCAGAGATTTTTCCATGGAGTGCTATCCTCTGGAGCACATTTGGATTCTCCTTTCCTGGATCCCACCACAGGCTTCCAAGGCCAGAGGAGGCAGAGCCCTGGCCCATTAGCATCTCATACCTTCTGTAGTCTCCAGGCCTGATAATCATGGGAACTGGAAAACAGCAAGCAAAATAATAAAAGCAAAAACAGAGGAGGCCAAGAACCTGATGGGCACTTTACCAGCCTGGTAGAGGGGAAGACAGGCTGACCAAGTAGCTTCCTTGCCAGATCCTCCTCTGCCAAAAAGAGCTGAGTTACTGTGTCTGAACTCTAGATATGGAAGAGCCCACATTGGATAGGTTCATGGAAGGAGCTAGAGCTACCACTACAGGCATGAAGGGCCAACAGGGCCTCCGTCCTGTGGCTGGCATGAAACTGAAAGCAAGTTTCCAACTCCATCCTCTGCTCCCTTCCTCCCTATTCAGTTCTGGCTCTACCTGGACTCAGGAAGCCACAAGACCCACATCAGCTGGTGTCTGGAAAGAGATTCCATCTCCAGGCAAAGGGGAGGCTAGGAAAGGCCAGAACCAGACTAGGGCCCAGCGTGGACCCAGAGCTGCCTGCAGGTTGTGGCAGGTGCCCAGGTCATAGGAGTGCTGGCCCCGAGCCCACTCCCAGGTGGTCTGGCCCCGCAGGAGCAGCATCCCATGGAAAAGCAGTCCAGCACCACACAGTAGTGCACCTGCCACACATGTGTCCACCACAAAAGCTAAGGCAAACTGGGCCAGAGAGACTTTGCCTGTGGGAAGAAAACAGAAAAGGGGGTCTCAGGGGATAGCAGTTGGCTGGCTTTCCCAAATCCAAATCCTGCCTGCCTCCCACCCAAGAAGTGGGATTCATCCCTCCATTCTGCAAATTCAATTACTCAGTTACACCTGGGATCTTTTTCCATCTGGGCCTCAGCCGGCACTAGTTCCCGCTGAATTGACCACCAGAGGTCATGAAACACTGCCAAGTGGAAGAAGGCAGACATGAAGAGCCATGGGTTGTGGGATATGCTTCCTGTGAGCTGTCTTGAATGGGCAAACACGTGCACAGAAAGCAGACTAATTGTCAGGGCTGGAGATTTAGGGAGTGATGAGAGGGCTGATTACTGGTCATATTATTTCTCTGTGGCGTGAAAATGTTAGACAGTGGCAATGATTGTACCATATACTAAATATTTCATGTTTAGAACACTAAAATCTACTGAATTGCACACTTCCAAATGACTAAAGTGATGTGTTTTGTATCAGTAAAAGAATACTTGGTCTGAGGAAATGGCTCATTCAGTGAACTGCTTGCCTTACAAGCATGAGGCCCCAAATTTATCTCCTCAAGATCCACATAAAAATCACCATATGCCTGTGATTCCAGTGAAGATTGGATGGGAGGCAGATACAGACAGAACTCTGGAGCCAATTGGCTAGCTGGCCTGGCCTACTTGTCAAAGTTGGATACCAATGAGAGACTTTCAAACAGAAGGTGGAAGGTACCCAAGGTTGTTTTCTGACCTACACACACACACCCCAAACCATGACAGAAATACTGTGGGGGGAAATACTAAGGGTAGAGGAAATAGAGTTCATCTTTTATGGGGGGGGGGAAGAGGGATATCATGCCCAGGAGAGACTCTTAGGAGACAGTGTCAGTTTAAGAAGTCCTGTTACCCAGCAGGTCTGTGTGCCTGGGAGAGTTGAACACAGGAACATTGCTCTGTTTCTGAGACAAGATCTCAAAAAATATAGCTCAGGCTCACCTTAAGCTTCAAATATAACCCAGGTTGGCCACCAACTCTCAATGCTCCTGCCAGCCTGAGTTTCAAATGGAGAACAAGGTGAACCTAGCCATGAACACATATCTGGCAGCTCTCAAAAGCCGGGGAAGGAAGATGAGCTACAATGCTTGAGAGATTAGCAAGAGAGAGGTGGAAATGAGGAGCAGTGAAGGTGGAACAGGGAAGATGATGGAAACATCACACCCAGGGAGAAAGGGTGGAAGGTGGAGGGTACAAAGAGGGACGGCCAATGACAGTGACACATTCTGGGTTCTGACAAGTAGTTGTGAATATGAGAGTATGGGAAGTGAAACACAGTGGCCAAGAAATGGGAGCCAGTGAGCACATGCCTGCAACCTCAGTACTCGGAAAGCTGAGGAAGAGGGCTGTGAGTTCAAAGCCAGCCTGGGCTGGCTACACAGCAAGACTGTATGAGGGAAGGAAGGAGAGAAAGAGGGAAGGAGGGAGGGAGGGAGGCAGGCAGGCAGGCAGGCAGGCAGCCAGTGACAGGGAACAGTAAGGTAGGCTATGATGGCAGCAGAAAAACACCTAGCCTTAGAAAACACAGAACCATTGAGAAGTATATAGAAGATGGTATAAAGGAAGCCAGCGTGAGAACCTCAGTAGCTTCCAGAGGTTGGGGGGAGGGGCAGGGGATATTTGGGACAGAAGACCAGCTCATCTCCCCTAAGATAACGTTTTAGCATCCCAACAACCCGAGGGCTCTCATACTAGCCTTTCCTCTTCTGTAGCAAGCCTTGGGATCCTTGATTTAGGGACCAGAACTCTGCTTTTGTCTTGGAGCCCCATGAAAGCACAGTACTTCACACTCAGCTAGGTATGAGGCTTTCCTCTCTCCTTAAATACACTGGGACTTAGTCCCCAGAGTATTGCCTAAGGGAATCAGCTGGACACCCACCTCCCGTGGGAAGGGCCTTGCTCCCCAGCACAGTGCAAGGGTCTCTGGCTCCTGCAAGGTTCAGAAAGCTGCCCACCTGTGAGTAGCATGAGCCAGGGCAACAGCAGGAGAGCCACAGTGTAGAGGGCTGAGTGGGCCCGCAGAAGGGCTGACAGGGCAGGGCTTAGCAGCACCGAGACGTGGAGCAGGACACCAGCAGCGTGAAGTAGCAGGCACAGGAAGGGCCTATAGTTATGGAAGCCCACACAGCGGCCCAGTAGGCGGCAGTGGTGGTCACGACGTAGGATGCACACGCGGCAGGCAGAGCAGTGCCCACTACGTGGCGGCACTTGACTTTGGCACTGGTAACAGTAACTGCATAGGCAGGGGAGGGGGAAGAACCATGGGTTAGTGCCCCCAACAGCTCTCTGTGCCCCACAGCATGCCCAACCTCTGCCCTGGAGAGCAGAAACAGCCACTGTCCTTGCCAGGCACCTCCAGCTCTCGCACTGTAGGTCTGAGGTGGCTACCTTCTGTGACATGCGCACTGAAAAACAAAGTTTTCAATGGCTTGGGAGTGCTTATGTCACTAACATCTCTTTCCTTCCCTCTACTCCAGTCACCGCCCTTGGAATATTCTGGATGTACAGTGGCTTCTGCCTTTTCGTGGTATGGTCTTCATTCTCCTCCCAGAAAGTAGTTCAAAAATTCCCAAGTGGCTAACTCCACCAGCCCTTCGTGCAAATGCCTCAATAAGGTCCTCCTTGACCACTTATTTATTTTTATATTTTAGTTTTTACTTGCAATTGGATGTTAGTCAATATATTTGCAGATGCTGTGCCTTTTTAGTAAAATGTGAATAATTTAATCACACTAATTCATCACATAAATGTCTTGTACTGAAAATTGACCATGCATTTAACATTGAAACTTTGGGCAGGGAGATGGTTCAGTGGTTAAAGAAAGTTGCTGCACAGGCCTGACAACTTGTTCAGTCCCCAGAACCCACACGGTAGAAGAAAACTCCCCCAAAAAATTGTCCTCTGACTTCCACATGTGCACTGTGGCATGTGCACTGGGACTTGGACACACATCATAAATACAGACAAAAAAAAAATGATAAAAATGACGGAAACTTTTTCTCCTTGCCTTCTCTTACCCTGCTCTATTTTTTGTTTGTTTTCAAATCTTTTAACGTCTAATATGCAATGTGCTTATTTATTGGGCTTACAATTTATTATCTGCCCCTTCTGCCACTGAAATAATCTCCAGGAGGTCGGATATTTGTTTTTACTTGAGGCTCCAAAACAGTCAGTGCTTACTCAGTATCTGAATGAACAAGTAGCGGATGCCAGGTTCTAAAGGAGTTCTTTGGCTGGTTTCTGACAACTCAAGTTCTGGGGCCTCTCTTGGTCCAGGCGTCCCATTCCCCACCCCCTCCACCCCGCGCTTCTGCCCGCGGACCCTGGTGCCCGACACTCACGCCCAGCCCTGGCCTACGCCGCGGCCAGCCAGCATCACGCCCCGAATGCTGGGATCTGAGCGCAGGAACAGTCCCACGTTGCCCAGCAGGTTAAGAAGCTGATAAGCAGCCAGCGCCACTTGCAAGGCCCGGGCCAGGGGTCCCAATGGGGGAGGCCCGGGCCCCAGCACCATCACGTAGGCCAGCTCCAGGACCACGGCGGCGGCCCACAGCGCGGTGAGCAGCAGGGGCAGCCGCGCGGGCGCTCCTTCTGCGCCCCGAGCCACCCAGGGCTGCCCCATGGTTCCGATCCACCCGCTGTGGGATCCCTGGGACCCCAGCGCTTCCGTATTGGGGAGGGCATAGCAGCGGACGGATGTCTGCCGCAACCAATGGGAGCTCTGCATGGGTGCGTTGCGCGGCAGTTTCACAGGGCGGGACCACAGATACAGAAAAAGGAATGGCTGACAGACTAGATTTCAAAATCCGGTTGGTGCTGCCGCCCAGTGTCAAAGTGAAGTCGCCCAGCGTACTGCAGGGGCCACGCCCCCTGGTGTGGCTGGCTGCCACACCCGGAGAATTGAATTGCAGTCCCTGTGGCGTCGGGGTTTCCCGGCTCAGCACATTCTCACCACACTCCTCTACAGCCGCCCCGGTATTAATAGACCTGGCTGGCCCTATCATCTGGCCCCGAGCCTTTCCGCATGCTCGGGTGTCTCCATCACCCTAGAAAATTCCTCAAACAGCTTGTTGCCTCAATCTTACTGACTGTGAGGTAGAAATAAGGGTCTTTTTCTGGTCCGCAGTGCGGGAAGGGGGGCAGACTCAGGTCCAAGGGGCAGCCTGTAGGATGGCCTGCAGCCACCACCTGGACTCCACTTTATAGATGAGGAAACAGTCAATATCCATGACTCTCCCAAGATCACACAGCAGGCTAACCACAGAGCTGAAATGCAAACTCGCTATCTAGGCCAGTAGTCATCCAGCATCCCCGCGATTCCGCAATCTTTGACTCCAGCACAACCTCTTCTCTGGTCCAGACCCAAGCTCCCTTGCCCCCTATCTGGCCCCACCCACCTCCCCCATATTTAGTACGAATCTGATCTGGGGCTGGGCCCTACTTAAGCAGGCCTGAGCGTTCAAGAGCTTGCCCAGCGGAGCAGAGCAGAGCCAAGAGCCTGAGCAAGATGATGATGGTTATGCGGCCCGAGGGTCTGGGGGCCGGGGAGGGGCCCTTCTTGGGCGGCGGGGGCGGCGAGTACATGGAACAGGAGGAGGACTGGGACCGTGACTTACTGTTGGACCCGGCCTGGGAGAAACAGCAGCGGAAAGTGAGTGCTCACCCATTTCCCAAAGGCAAAACTGAGGCTGAGAGGCCAGGCAATTCTTCCTGGACAGCTGGACAGTTCAAGGGCAGAGCCTTCCTGTAATCTAGACTGCCATTCCCCAACCCAGGCTCTGCCGACAGCCATCTGCTGTTCCGAGGGCTAGAAGAAAGGCTGGGAGTCCTTGTGAGGCAAGGAGTTCCTGGAGTCACTAACGACCCCTCCCCCAACTCCCTTGAGCCCACTGCCCCACTTCAAGTAGATTTTTGGACAAGGTCCAAAAGATCCAACTTACTGGGTGGGATGTGAAGGGTTCTCAAGAAGTTGTGTCCCTCTATACACCCACCCCACTCTCCAGTTAAGTATCCCCAGACCCCATCCTGAAAACATGCCAAGCACGCAACCAGTGGGTGGTATAGGGGGAGAGAACCATCTCGTATTCTTTCCCATCCTCTACTATGCATTTTGCTCAGGTTGGTGTCCACAGTGTCTTTATTGGCTTGACAATTGAAGAAACTGAGGCCCAGAAAACAGCAGAGATAGGCAGCCTATTATACACTATGAGAAAAAAGAATCCCTCCATCTGAGCGTCTTTGTCCCTTGCCCCAACCCTCTCTTTCCCAAGATACTCCTCCCGGCATTAGAAACCCTGAGTCTGCTGAAAGACCAGAAGAAGGTCGGGAGGAGGGGAGTCCTGGGTCCCCTTACCAGTAACTTAACCCAGGGGCCCAGATAGACACTTGTGCTGAGGCAGCGCCTTTGGGGGAGCTCAAGAGGGCCATGTGGGCAGCTGTTGCCCAGGCGCAGCCTTGTAGGGAACTGCCCCCCTCCCTGAACTATTTTCACTCCTAGTGGAGGGAGGAGGACACCTGGGTTCCCTAAGAGAGAAAAGTATTCCAGCTGGACTGAGAAAATTTTGAGGAGCGGCAGGCCAGGCACAAGGAAGGCACCATGAGGTCATTGGACGTGCTTTGCCAGCTTATGCCTGATTCCAGGAAAGGGCCAGACGATGGTGCACCCAGTGAAATTTGTAGGACCTGAGAACCCCAGAATTTAGAACCAGGGCATTTCCACTGGGTTAGATGTCAGAAGTTGACTGCAGTGATAGGGTGATTGAGCTGACTGAACTGAGTGAGGTGCCTGGGCTGATCCACCCTCCACCCTACTCCCCCTCACACCCACTGCACCTGTCTCCAAGCATGGCTGTGGTCCCTGAGTTCGGCAATCCCCAGATGATGTAATCCCTGTCCCTGGCTCCATTTGCTCAACAACTCTTGTCCCTACCCCAGCCATCCAGCCCTCTCCCAGATCCAAATCTATGTCTCTACCATGACATCTGTCAGTCTCTTTCTTGCCTTTATCATTTAAAATATCAGAACCATGCTTTCAATCCAATTACCAGCCACCCATGCCCATCAACAACCCAAGTCCACCATTAATTCATCAGAACAGGTAGATGCTCTGAAAACAAGTCAGCGTCTCGTGCAGATGGACATGTGGGTTATTTTTTCCTTTATTCCACATTCCACATTGCTTATCACAGGGCTATAACATCCTTGTGGGTAGATACAGCTCTGTGCCATCCATCTCTGCTCCTGCATGCTTCCTGGTGACTGCTTCCTTGCTTGCCTGAGACTCCAGCATCCAGGGTCTCTAGTTTGGAGCTCTCATGTTCTCCCCTGATACCTGACTCTTCTTCATACATATTTTTGGGCATTTTAAAAGGTCTTGTGTAGCCCAAACTGGTCTTGAATTTGCCTTGTAACCAAGGATGACCTTGAACTTCTGAACCTCTGCTTCCTCTTTCTTTTTAAACTTTTTATGAGATGTATTCACTTTATTTTATGTGTGTTTTGCCTGTGTGTATGTATGTGCACCACATCCATGCTTGGTGTTTCAGGAGGTCAGAACAGGGCATCAAATTCCCTGGACCTGGAGTTATGGGTGGTAATGACCCACCAAGTAGGTGCTAGGAATTAAACCCTGGTCTTCTGCAAAAATAACAAAGCAGCAACTGCTCTTAACCGCTCAGTGATCAGCGATCTCTCTCCAGCACTTCCTCCACTTTTTTATTTATTTATTTATTTATTTGAGACAGAATTTCTCTGTGTAGCCCTGGCTGTCCTGGAACTCACTCTGTAGGCCAGGTTCTCCTCAAACTCGAACTCATAGAGATCTGCCTACCTCTGAGTGCTGGGATTAAAGACATGTGCCACCACTGCTGGGCTCCTTCCTCTGATTTCTAAATTGGGGGTTGCAGGTATGCACCAGGCTTTAAGTGCTGCTAGGAATCAAACCCAGGCATCTTGTGTGCAAGGCAAGCAATCAATTATTTTACCAACTGAGCTACATCCCAGATGTTCCATAAATATATCTTTAAAAAAACAAGACAAAAAAAAAAAAAACACCTTTTTCTTTAATTAATTTTTTTTATTTATATGTATCTACATGGGTTCCATGGAGACCAGAGAGGGTGTCAGATCCCTGGAGTTGGAATTACAGGCAGTTTTAAGCCTTCTACATGGGTGCTGGGAATCCGATCTGGGTCCTTTGGAAGAAAAAACAACTAGTGTTCTTAATCATTGGGCCATGATTCCAAACCCAAAAACAGGTCATAAGAAGGTCTGAAATCGGAATGAAACAAAGTATATTCCCACATCTCTGTACCCACTCCCATCACTTTCTATCCCCTGTATTCATTCTCATTTCATTTCCCCCTTCTGTTCTGGCAACCATCGTTCCTGCTCTACAATCAGAATTAACCTTTAAACTTAAGTGCTGGGCTACTCCACATAATGAGAGTCAGGATAGCCAGGGCTGCATAGAGAGGCTTATCTCAAACATAATTAATAAGTTCTGATGCCTCCCTCTTGCCTGGAGCTTTGCCAACTCTCTGTGGTTCTCAGGAGCAAGTCCAAACTCCCTGGATTAGCACCTAGGATCATGCATGACCTGGCCCCTGCCATCCCTCCGGTCAGTCTGTCACCACCTACACCCCAACACCTCCAGCTTCATTCCAGCAGTGCCCGCAATGCTACAGTCCCACAAACAGAGCAGCTGTTTCTGACTACACATTTTCCCTTGTGTCTGCCCCTGCCTGACACGCCCTTGTCTGACCTTCCTGGGCCTGTGCTAGCTCCTGCTCTTCCATGTGAGCCTGCACCTAATTTGGACAGTCCTTCTCCACTCCAGATTCCTCTGCATGTCTCTGCTGGTACACCTCAGAGACCAACATGACTCTGATTGGCTATGATCTCCTTCAGGGCAGAGCTACTCATATTTGGGACGGGGGATGTAGCTCAGTTGCTTAATTTCTGACTTAGCTTAGCATGAGTCAATCCCCTGCTTGGATCCCCATTATCAAATAAATAGGGTATGGTAGTGCACACCTGTAAGTCCAGGACTCAGGAGATGGAGGCAGAAGAATCAAAAGTCCATTGTCACCACTGGCTACACAGTAAGTTCAAAAATACACAAAACCCTGGAATATATATGACTTAGTTTGCTCTCCCACCTCCTAACCTCCCCCACCTGCCAGCTCCCCCACCTCCCGCCAGCCAAGCCTCCTGCCATTTGTAGACCCAGGGCATCCAGACTACAGTGGTAGAAGCAGCTGTAGAAAATATGGATGCAATCTCTTGTTCTTGGGTCCCTATTGACTAAGGACCTACTTATACACCCCCTGTAATAGAAGTTCCCCATGTTCCCTCAGCAATGACAGTTGTCCTGTATTCATAGGATCATCTTCTGCTCCAGCTCCCAGCACACCTGGAAATCTGGCTGAAGAGAGAATTCCAAATGGCCTCCAGGGCCACCTTTCAGGAGCACTTGTTTTATGGTGGGAGTAATGATGTTTTTCTATCAGTTAGCTGCTGCACATTAATCTATTGACATTTTAATTATCATCTTTGGCCCTGCAGCTCCATGGTCCCACAGTCAGCATCCTGCTGGCCACTCAGGCCACAGTCTGGCAGGGCTTCCAGTCTGTTGGCCCAGGCTCTGCTGCAGCCACGATATGTAGTTTT